AGCACCTTCTTCAGTTGGATGTTGAAGTCCAGTCAACTGTAAGCAGAAGTTATCTATAAAACACACATATCTTGTGTTAAATGTGAGACTGAAGTCTTCGTCACAACTGTGTGCACCTTTAATTTCCCTTACCTTACCTGTGGTAAGTGAAGGCACCATTTGTAGGACGACCCGGCTCCTGATTGGCTGATGAAAAAAGCTGTAACCTTCAGTCCATATCCCCCCTCCTCAAATCACCCAGCTGTTACAGCTGTTGTTAACCCCTCCGTTTTGTACATTTGACCAAATTCAACATTTGCACAGAAGTAATTCATCATTTAAAACTATGAGCTTCATTTTTTTAAATATAATGCAAACTGACACCAAAATAAACCAAATTCAGTGGTTGAAAAATCCTGCATGACACAGATCCCATAATTACACATGACACTGATTTATTTTAACAATGTTCGTACATGTGCTGTGAATATTCTTAAAAAGCTTTTCCAGCTTTTGTTAGACATGCAGTCACTGCAGACTGAAGGTTTGGATCTTTGCATGAAATATTCAATATTGATCTGAGAGTTTAGAGACGTTGTGTCCTTCAGCAGTGAGAAGAAGTGTCCCACATGAAGTCCTGAAAACACATTTATGATGCAAAATTATTAAAAGACTTTGGCACTTCGGCACACTAAATAGTAGCCGAAATCACAGAAAACGCTGAAACTACAAGAAAAAACCTGAAAGGGTCACAACAAGCTGAAATTAGCAAAAATAAGTTAATTAGGCTGAAAGAAGCAGAAATTACCAAAATAAATAAATGTGGAATTTATCTGAAAACAGCTGAAATTAGCTAAAAAATGCTAAAGGAGCAGGTAGAACGAGCTTAAATTAGCAGAAAGAAGTTAAATAGGCTGAAAGGAGCAGAGATTACCACAAAAAACATTGAATTTATCTGAAAACAGCTGAAATTAGCTAAAAAATGCTAAAGGAACAGGTAGAACAGCTTAAATTAGCAGAAATAAGTTAATTAGGCTGAAAGGAGCAGAAATTACCACAAAAAACATTGAATTTATCTGAAAACAGCTTAAAATAGCTAAAAAATGCTAAAGGAACAGGTAGAACAAGCTTAAATTAGCAGAAAGAAGTTAATTAGGCTGAAAGAAGCAGAAATTACCACAAAAAACAATGAATTTATCTGAAAACAGCCGAAAATAGCTAAAAAATGCTAAAGGAACAGGTAGAACGAGCTTAAATTAGCAGAAAGAAGTTAATTAGGCTGAAAGGAGCAGAAATTACCACAAAAAACATTGAATTTATCTGAAAACAGCCGAAAATAGCTAAAAAATGCTAAAGGAGCTGAACAGGTGGAACAAGCTTAAATTAGCAGAAGAAAGCAACAGAGAAGGGGCAAAAAAAGTGGAAAATTTCTGGGAAAAAAAAAAAGCTGAAATTAGCAACAACAAAAAAACGGCAGAAAAGTAGCTAAAAAGGCAGAAAGAAGCTGAAATTACAAGAGGGAAATGGAGAGAGCACATTTTTTTACTTAAGCTGAGAAAAGTTTAAATGAGTGTAAACAACATGGAATTAGCTGAAAAAGCTTAAATGAGCATAAAAACAGCTAACTAGTAGCTGAAATAGTAGAAGAAGCTGAAACTTGCAGAAATAAGCTAAAAGGAGCATACCAAGCTGAAACTGGCAGAAAGAAGTTAGGAAAAACACAAAAATGTTGTAGTTAGCAGGAAGATCCTGAAAGGAGCACAAAACAGCTAAAAACAGATGAAATTAGCTGAAAGTAGCTGAAAACAGTTCAAATTTGCATAAGGAAGCTGAAAGAAGCTGAAGCAGAACAAAATGTGAAAGGAGCAGTAATAAACAGATCTAAAGATTTGAAGGATGTAAAATGAGCTCGATTCATGTGAGAACAAAATGTCAGAAAAGGCTAAATATTTCAAAAGGCTAAAGTTGCACCAAAACCAAAAGTCACAGGAGGATTGTCCTGGAAGAGCCGAACGTTTGTTGAAATAGCACAAAAACTGAGGAATGAGAAAGATGCAGAAAAACGTACGGAATAAAAATGGACCACAACAGAGTGAACGCTTCACAAACATTATTAACAATGTGTGTTTGAGACCATGGAAACAGTTTGTTTGTACAAGTTAGCATATTTTTTAAAGTTTTATTCAGCACAAGTTCAGAAGCTTCTGCTGTGTGATATGTTTCAAAAAATGTGTCTAAGCAAAATAAATAAATGAAATCTGAATGTTTGTTGGATTTAATTTTATTCCATAACGGTGAGCTGTTGTCCATTTTTAATCGAGCTGTTGTTGGCGTTGTTTAAATCCACGGTTCCAAACGGGAACGGTCCGATTCCTCCCCTCCTGCAGACAGGTGCAGTCATCTCATCCACCGCCTCCGTCTCACACACGAGCAGCTCTCTGCTGAGGCTGGAGGATATAGTTGCTCAGAAACCGTAAACCTCACCTCCTGCAGTCCGGGGGCAGCCCCCAAAGAAACTGACACCACCAGAGGACCGTGTGTTTACCTCCAGCCATGGAAACGGACCCTCCCTGGTTTTGTTTTCACACGGGAATCAGGCAGAGTGAAACACGATTCTGTTGCTTTTATTGTCTGTCTTGGTCAATTTTCAAAGCCTCGTCAACTTTAAAGGACTCTAATCACAAAAGAGTTGAGGAGGAATAAATTAGAGTCAAAAAGTTGGTTGATTTGTCCGACGCTGAAAAACATTTTTACGTCATGGTTAAAGACAAAAGCAGTTTTTTTATTTTCCGTTGTGTTTTGCTCCAAATTATCCATCTGAACATGGTACTGCCTCTGGACAGAAACTCGGTGTAGAAGCTCAACATGCCCCTCGTCTCGGACGTAGATCCTGTAATGGTTGAAGGCAGCCGAGCATATGGCCTCTGTAAGGGCCTGTCCGCCCAGGATTTAGGGCTTACGGTTCATTAACAGTTTAAAGAAAGAAGAAGAGATTATTATCACAGCTATGAGCTGCCCTGGAGCCAGAGAAGGCTTGAACGTGCAATCAGTGTTGTTGCTCATTAATCTGAGGCCATTAGGACGTGCACGCAGCGCCTGAGCTCTTCGACCCACTCATGCTGTTAATTTGGGTCATAAAATGGCGTTTGTTGGAGACGCTGAAAACACATCAAAATATATATTTTATTAAGCGTCTTTTACATAAAGCAACGTTTTAACTAAAACGTTTGACTAATAATTAAAATGCCATAAAAATCTAAAGAAATCAAACAAGATTTTAATAATAAAGGCAAAAAAAACAAAAACTTAAGAGGAATAATTAGAGGGACTACACAAAACACAGTAAAATATGATTTCCACGCCTCTGCAAACGGATTGAGCACAGTGTTTGTTTTTATTTAGTCATACAGCAGTTACACAGCAGAGCAAAAACAGATCCATCCATCCATCCATCATCCATCCATCATCCATCCATCATCCATCCATCCGCAGGGGCAACAGGTCTAATACTGAAACCCACTCCCAGCAGTGACCCTCTCCAGGCCCTCCTGGGAACCCCAAGGCATTCCCAGGCAGAGCGATTCCTCCAGAGAGTTCTGGGTCCACCCTGTGTTTTATTTTCTGTGGGGGGTGTAAAGCGTCCACGACCCATCCTAGGGGCAGCACAGTGGTTCAGCTGGTAGAGCTGCTGCCTCTCAGTGAGCAGGTTGCTCCGGTTCAGATCCCGGTCCGGGGGGTCTTTCTAGATGGAGTTTTCATGTTCTCTCCGTGCATGCGTGGGTTTTCTCCGGGTGCTACGGTTTCCTCCCACAGACCAAAAACATGCATGTTAGACTGATTGGTGACTCTAAATTGTCCCTAGGAGAGAGAAAGAGAGTGGTTGTTTGTCTCTTTGTGTCCCTGTGATGGACTGGAGACCTGTCCAGGGTGTACCCCGCCTCTCACGCAGTGATGGCTGGACATGGGCACCAGCGACCCCCACGACCCGAAAAGGAAGAAGTGGGTAAAGATAATGGATGGATGGATGGATGGATGGATGGATGGATGGATGGATGGATGGATGGATGGAGGAGCCATCCTAATCACATGCTGCACCACCTCAACTGTCTCTTTTCAATGCAGAGGAGCAGCACGCTACGAAGGAAGCTCATTTCAGCCGCTTGTATCCATGAACTTGTTCTTTCAGTCAGGATCCTTACCTCATGACCACAGGTGAAGGTTAGAACATAGAGAGACTAGTAAACTGAGAGCTTGGACTGAACTCTTTCTTCACCACGACCAATCCGTTTCCAGTTGAGGAGCTGACTCGTCGTAGCTGCTTCACACTCAGCTGCACTGAAGGCCAAAGTTTAGGATTTTTATGCTAAATAAAAATGACCCCACTTCCAATCATATGCTCAAATGTTGATGCACGACTGATCCAAACATGACGGTACCTTGTTAACTCTAAACACCATGTCTGAAATCCAGACTCAAACCATCATCTTGTTTACAGATAGCCATAGAGGCTAACTGATATTATGAACCTAAAAAAGTTAAATCTGGTCCTCTGGACATTAAAAAAAAACAAAGCAAATCAACAACAAAAAAAAAAAATTGTTGATTTGTTTTTTTATTGTTTTTTTTTTTTTTTTTTGAATGTCCAGAGGACCAGATTTAACTTTTTTAGATTTTTCTACCTGGATTATTGAGCATGCATCAGGATATTATGAACATTTTTCTAGTTTGTTCAGTTTTTTGGGTACTCTAACCATCCCAAAGGTTTCAGAATAGTACATTAATTCCAAACTTTACTATGCTTTTTTTGTTTTTCACCAAAATAATAAAAATATAGTATTTTTGTGGCAGGCTATGGTGTCAGAAGATGAACTGGGATCTGTTTCTTACTGTATTTCCTGACCACGTTCAAAAGACATTTTCACCAAAGCTGCTGTCGCCGCAAGATCCTGACTGACAGCTCTCGAACCAATCAGAACTTTGTAAAAATCCTCTCGACCAATGATTGAGGAGAATTCAGTAGAAGGCGGGGCTTAGCTGGGTAGCTGCGTTACCTGTTTATCGCATAAAAAAACACGGAGGAAACTTGAAGTTTGCAGCCCATGAAACTCCTCACATAATGAATGGGACAGCGTACTCCAACTTTGACAACCAGGAGCACGTCCTGAAATTAGGAGAGACGTTTGAGAAACACCCTAAAAGTGCTTACCACACGGTGCGATGTAAGTTGTTGACGTCTGGCTTTTACTGCAGCTAACTGTTAGCACGCTAGTTAGCTTGTTAGCTTAACATCCGGCGATGACTGACGTGCGGTGGATAGTTCTGTCTCTTTGTATTTCATTTGTATATACATGTTGCTCCATCGTCATGGCAAAGTCACAGTTTATTTATTAATATTTATGCCATTTTATCAAATGTTACAAGCCCTCGAGCTGTCAAAAGATCGGCTAATGTTAGCACACAGTTAGTCTGCACACTACCGCCACCTTGTGGTGAAAGTGGCGAACTGCGTCGCTTAAAACTATTTTTTTTTTAAATTAAGTTCCTTCTCTGTTGTAATTAGCCAATTGATATATTTGAAAATGTATATTGAGCTCTAATAGTTTCCGCTTTTTCCCTCTACAGATGATTTTAAACCAGCATCCATTGATACAACATGTGAAGGGGAGCTTGAAGTTGGCAAAGGAGAGCAAGTCACCATTACTTTACCCAATTTAGAGGTTGGTTTGATTGAAATGCATATAAATATGGAATTTTAAAGTTGCATTTAAATAATTGAAGGTAAGTATTTAATATAGTGTTTTAATTTCCTTTAAAACCACATTTCAGTAGTTTGTGTTTGCTCTTTTTTATATGCTTGTTTTTATTTCATTGATTCGTCTCCTGTTCGATCCAGTAGTAAACACAATCGTTATTTCAGCATCAACCCTGTGGTTAAACAGGACAATCCAAATGATCAGATCAAAACATTTTAGCAAGAACAAATAAATGAATGACGCTGCATAAACTACTAATTTTTGTTTTTTATTCTTGTAATGTTTGTGTTGATTTTGATTTGTAAGGGTTCGAGTGCTCCGGTTACAGTCTTCAAGGGATCTAAGAGGCCTTACATGAAGGAGTGCATCCTCATCGTGAACCATGATACAGGAGAGTACAGACTAGAAAAACTCAACAGTAATATAGCTGTAAAGAAGACCAGGTAAGCTTAAGAATAATTTTATTGAACTCTTTTCAAAGTATATTAGATATTTGATCAATAACTCTTTTTTTTGTGTGTGTTATCAGGGCTGAGGGCAGCAGTAAAATTCAGTCTCGTCTGGAGCAACAAACCAGTCGCCTAAGCCAGCAGATGAAGAGTAGCAGCAGCAGCAGCACTAACAAAACCTCATCCAGCTCCAAGAGCTCTCCCAAGGAGAAAACCTCTCCACCCTCACCAATGGATGACATCGAGCGAGGTAATGCGTTGGGCACAACGTCCTCAGACTGTAAGCTTTAAATCCTCACAGTTTCTTTTTTAACAGAGTTGATGGCGGAGGCAAGGGTCATGGATCAGCTGAGCAGCAGCAACAGCTCTTCAGGCTCCAACAGCTCGTCCTCCAGCAGCGACGACAGCTCAAGCAGCAGTGACTCAGAAGACGAGCGAAGTTCTGCCCCGGCCAATCAGAGCATGCCCGTCATAAACGCCAGCTCGACGAATCGCCACCAGGAGAGCGGAGGAGAGCTCATGAACACGCTCAGTGAGTAACCTGAGCAACACATTCAGCTTTTGGCTGACACGTGAGCCGGCTCGCGTTTTTTAAATTCAGATCGAAAGGGTTCAAAATGTGTTTCAGTCGCGTCGCAGAGTGAGGCGCCTTTTTGTTCCTTTCTCAAGTGATTTGATGGTGTAGTGAGTTGCCTTTTCTTTTAAACAAAGACCTTCATGAATAATAAAGTATGTTTTTAAATTAGATGTAAGATTAGCAATAGATTGTTATCAGGAGACAATGAAGGGCGTAGAAATGTGCTAATAGCGGAGGGTGACTGCTCATCTGTGCAAGATTACAAACACACTTTCAAATGTAATTCCAAAGAAACATTTATTTAACTTTTTAGATTGTGCAGTTACATGTGACCTATCACGGATAAAAAGACGTGTTTGCAGCAGTACCCGTTTCCCTGCGTGCTACTCTTTGATTCTTCACCCCCCGTCCTGCAGAACCGAACACCAGACTGGAGACGTGGAACGGCAGGCCTGCGTCGCTTCACTCACTCGTGTGTTTTTGGTTGCAAATATTAACGAAGCGCACTCATTTTGGATCAGACTTTTATGCACCGTCCATCCAACCACTCTTTACCCGCTTTTTCCTTTCTGGGTCGCGGGGGTCAGTGAACAAGCACTGGGTCAGAGGTGAACTTGTGCCATGGAGGAGGCGGTCCGGTGGTTTTGTACAGTTAGCCCGAGACAGATTTGTTGGCTAAACCAGGGGTTCCCAAACTTTTCCATGCCATGGCCCCACAAACGGCATTAGCTTCTGGCCGAGGCCCCCCTCGCAAACCCACAATGCTACGAAATATGTAAAGAAACATCAACTTTTAGAATGTTTTAACTTTTATTCACTATATTCCTTTAATTATTACAGCTGCTGAGCATCAAAACGTTATTAACCAACATGTTTTAAACATCTTCCAACTCGACGCGCTGAAGTTTGGAAGGTTGTAAACACTCGTGCACACATTTCAGGTTGGAATATAAAGTGTCGTTTGTATTAAAGTCATATTTCGTGTATGCTTCCTCATACGTTCAAAGTTTATCTGACCACGAGTTCTTTGTTTGTTTGTTTTTTGCAGCAGTTTCCACCACAACAGAACTGCTGGTCGGTTCCTTCGGTCTTTTTAGAAATGTCTCCACTTCCTCCTTGCTATGCTAGCTTGCAGAGTACAGCAGCTTGATGCATTTGACTGGCAGCCAGTCAGAAAGATGAGCATGGAGAAAAATATATTTTAAATTAATGATTGAAAAATAGATTCGATTTTTATTACAGCAATTTAAAAAAAATACTTCTCTCCAGCTTTCTGAGGCCCCCCTGGTGGCCTCCCAGGGGGCCGCGGCCCCCACTTTGAAAAACTCTGGATCGTTCTTGTAACATTTCTGCACCATGTTGGCTTTGAAAGCAGATCTTCTCTTTGCTTGTTGTTTGTTTACGTGTTTAGACTAAAATGTTTTTAAAAAGCCGGATGGTTAAATTCATGTGTATTAAGTTTTTTAAGTAAGAAGTCCGCTGTCTGAACTCGACTTGTTCTTGAAAACATTTGCCCTGATCTTCCAGAGAACGACCTCCAGCTGAGTGAGTCGGGCAGTGAGAGCGACTGAAGCCTCCGTTTGATGAAGGCGACCGTGAGGAAGACTCTGGAGACTGAAGGAGCCCTTCACAGACTCGTCTGTGTCCTGCTGCCTTTAAAATACAGCGGCCCTTTTTGCATTTCCTCTGATCTGTTGCTCCTCCAGCAGAAAACCTAAACATTTGTTTTGTGTGAAAGTTTAACTCCAACTGTAACGAGGTCTTAGCTTTCACGTCGTTCACGAGAAGCTGGATACGTCTGATGCATCGCTGCATGGGCTCAAACTGACCAAAGTGCACGAGGCAGAAAAAGGACGGTGCCTAATATAAATACACGTGTAGCTGATTGTTTCTGTCTTAAACAACCTCCTTTAGCTTCTGAATTTCATCTCAACATTATCAGCAGTCGCAGCTGTGCCTTACGTTTTGTTTCTTATTAAACGGCCACAGATTATTTTACTTTGAAACTAACCTGCAGGAAATCAAACTCTTGTGATGTCACGCTGCATTAAATATGAACCGCTCAGCCAAACGATCGTCTAGAAGTTCTCGTTCAACAGAAGTTGTATTTATTGCAGCGTGAAAAATGAAAGTTTTTCTTTTGGTTCTTTCCTGAGACACACGCCACAGTTTAGTGACTAAATGTTTCAGACACCGTCTGCAGTTTTTGTTGTCGTCTGTTACAAACAGGAACTGGGTTTATGAGTGGAGTTTAACTAAATAACCAGAATGGGACGCCGGAGACTTTGAGATAAAACTTGCTGGATGTAGTAAAAGTACAGAAAAGCTAAAGTAGTTTCAGTAAATCCACATGGGGTCATGCTTTGTAGCTTTAAACCTGTAATACTTGAAGAAGCTAATTATTTATCTTTCTAAATACACTTGACCGGTTAAGTTTTTCTTTGCTGAGTTTAAGTGCAAGTTCCCAGCGGGGGGGATCCAGATGTGCTGCGCTCCTGCACCTCGGTCTTAAAAACTGGATGTGCCTTCTTCATCTCGGGAAGTTTCCAGGTCTTCCTCTTCGTCTTTCACTGCCGAGCCGTCTCAGTAAACAGGAAGCTGCTGTCCGTTCATCAGTTCTTCAGCGTCCCCGATGACTGAAAAACAAACGATCACCTTAAAACACGGAGAATAATTTTTTCATTCTTTCATCCTTTTATTTGTTAAATATTTGAGAATAATTTGTCAAATATTAAACATTTTACGCATTTATTTGACGCGTCCGTTTGTATTTTGTCATTAGCGCTTTCAAAGGAACACTTAAGGAACATTTTGTTCTTTTTGAAGAAGAGTTCTGTGGAAAAGTTACAAAGAAATGTCTTCCCTGAGGTTGCTCTTTGAACAACACCAGTTTGGAGAAATGGTTTCCGTCTGAAGAGCTTAGTTTGAAAAGGACGCAAGGCCTAAATGGGCTGCTGCCATCCTGGAACAAATTTAACCGTTCATAATGGTGCAAGTGCTTATATGTTATTATCTGGAGACAGTTTCACATTAACAATAAAATTATATTCAGTTTATTTATATATTGTCAAAATGCCTCAGGGAACTCGCGTTCAATAAAAATGCTAATTAGTGAAAGTTTAGTTAATCCTTCAGATTGCATTAAATCACCACTTCTTCAGCAAATAAAAGCAATAAAACTACAACACTTGTTTGTTTTGTTCAAGGTACCCCCGTCTAGTTGGAGAGATGAACCTTTTGTGATAGACATTTGCTTTAACTACGGAGACAAGACCACAAAAATACTGTTTTTATAAATTTAGAAATGATGTCACACCGCAGTGCATTCTGGGTAACTGACAGGCTTCTCCACCATGGAGCAGAAGAGCTGCTGCTTTGTGAGAGAGCTTCTGCTGCACAGAGCTCTGCTCTCTATCACAGGCTGTTTACGACGAGCGTCAGGACCAAAACTTATCCTCAGATACATTAGAATATTTGCACATTACGTAATAAAGATTTAAAGACACCACACATCCATTTTCTGCTGCTTATCCTAAGTTGCATCGCAGGGGTGCTGGAGCCAATGTGAACTGAAACTTCATTCCACCCGGACCACAGAGCGAGACACCTCAACGCTTGGCCTCGACTTGTTTTGTCTCCATTGCAACCTGTTTGTCATCACCACAGAATGAACTGGGAAAGTTATGGCGACGCCCTGAAGATGCAATAAGCATGAACATTTTTAAGTAACCAGGCCTCTTCACGTGTCACTGACAACTTTTAGTAGAATAAGGAAGCAACAAATTAGTCTTGCGACCTGTCCAGGGTGCACCTCGCCTCTCGCACAGTGACCCCGGTGACCTGAAAAGGAAGAAGCAGGTAAACAGGTGGTTTGAGAGGGGGGTGAAGGAAGCATTTACTGTATGTAAAACGAGAAAAAACATCTTTAAACGGAGGAGGACATCGCAGATTTCAACTTTTAAAAACTTAAAAGGGGGGTGATATTACTTATCATCTGAGGAGCTTTCTCAATTCAAAGAACAGAGTGTGCAGTTTGAGTTATAATGCAGAGGTAATCAACATACATATGCAGATTGTCCTCTCGTTCCTCACAATAGAAGTTCGTTAGGGTCTTTTTTAGTTTGACTCACAGATGGACCTCTCTGGTGACATGGATGAAATTCCTGATATGTGTGAAAATGGCTGGGAATCAGTCCCAAAGCTGCATTATAAGTTTTTGAAAGTTAAAATCTGAGACCTCCTCTGTTTAAAGATGGTTTCTTTCTTTTTACATACATGGCTTCCTTCAACCCCCTTTCAAACCATCTGTCTTCCAAAATGTGTTGTCAAAAGAGTGTCCCTTGTCCTTGAGGTGTAGGTGAACAGCTGAGTCTTGTCCTGAAGAGCTGGCTCTCCTGCGTTGAGTCACGCGTCTGAAGTAGTAACAAACCAAACAGCTTCTTCACAGACGCATGGCTGAACTCAGGAGAGCCAGCTCTTCAGGACAAGACTCAGCTGTTCACCTACACCTCGAAGAAGGGATGCTCTTCTGACAATCAAAATGTTCACATTTTGTACCGAGAAGACAGATGGTTTGAGAGGGGGTTGAAGGAAGCGTTTTATGTAAAACGAGATAAAACATCTTTAAACAGAGGAGGAGGTCTCAGATTTCAACTTTCAAAAACTCATAATGCAGTTTTGGGACTGATTCCCAGCCATTTTCACACATATAAGGAATTTCCTCCATGTCACCAGAGTGGTCCATCTGTGAGTCAAACTTACAAAGACCCTAACGAACTTCTATTGTGAGGAACGAGAGGACAATCTGCATGTGTATCTAGTTCAGTTTATAACTCAAACCCTGCACTCTCTGTTCTTTGAATTAAGAAAACTCCTCGGATGAGATGTGAAACCAGTGGTGTAGTCTATGTGATACGTGGGTATACGAAGTATACCGTCTAGAAAAATTTGGGAATTTCAGTATACCCACTTAAAAGTGGCCAAAGACACGAGCCTCCATGAGCCCATGTCATGTATCAACACATATGGAACATTTTATAGACACATTGAGTTGGTTCAACCTGTTTTTTGTATAATTAATACTTTTTGTATAATTAATACTTCTGTATTTACTTAATAATTGAGCATGTTTTGGTTTGATACTGTTCTATAAATTCTATAACGTTTTTAATGCAAAGCCAACTGTTGTACAAAGTTTGTTGTACATTTATTCAAATATAAGCATCAGATAAATTTTGAAATGTTCAACGATTACGTTGTACTAACAGGTTTGGTTTCTACACCCAGTGCAAAAATGTAGAGTACACCACTGAGCGAAACGTCTTCAGTCACAAACAAAGTCCAGTTGTTTTTGTTTTGAAGTTATTTGGAAGAGACTCGGAGTAGAACCGCTGCTCCTCCACATCCAGAGGAGCCAGTTGAGGTGGTTCATCTGGTAAGGATGCTCCCTGGATGCCTCCCTAGTGAGGTGCTTCGGGCATGTCCGACTGGGAGGAGACCCCGGGGAAGACCCAGGACATGCTGGAGAGACGGTTGGCCTGGGAACATCTTGTGGTCCTCCCAGAAGAGCTGGAAGAGGAGGCTGTGGAAAGAGATGTCTGGACCTCCCTGCTCAAGATGCTGCCCCAAGACCTGACTTCAGAACAAGAGGAAGATGGAGGTTCTTCAAAACAGATGGTGTAAAGTTCTGTGGAACAGCATGAACCACTTGAAGTGTAAGAGACTGAAGTTCATTTGAAGATGGCTACAATCCACTTACGTCTTGGCCTTGCTCTGACTCATCATCACCTCCTCGTTTTACAAACTGAAGGTGAAAAATGTTCTCAGCGTGCACCATCGGACAGATTAAACCAAAAGAACACTTAGTTCTACTGTTTAAGAAACATCAGAGTTCAAACAAGCTGAACTTGTCTTTAAAAAACAGGTGGTAAGTTCTTTTACTTGAAACGTTACGCTAATAAGAACTTAATTCAAGTGTTGCACTTCTTAAAGTACAGTTTGTTCTTGTTTATATACAGTATATACTTTCTTTTCTTGCTGTTCGGACACTTTTACCAGACATTTCTAACAATAGCTGGAATAACTCCACAAAGTTTCTGCTGCTTGCTTTTCACCACACCCTTGAATGGGATTACAGGTTGAGACGGCTCGGCGTTCAGGTGGGCCTCGTAAAAAACACGGGCTGCATGATGCAACGAACTCTTGGTGCTGCAGGAGCTGTCAGGTTTAAAAATGTTGCAAAAGAAATGCTCTTTCTTTATCGCAACACTACATTGATCAGCTGCTTTGGGGATTAATTCTTTTAGAAATGATTACGCATCATAACAAATGTCCAAAACTAAAAAAGTTTCAGTAAAAATCCTTCCAGCTGCACAGCATCTGATACCAGAGGAAACAATCATCCAAAAAATGTGATTTACATCCAGAAAAAGAGGAATTAAAGTTTCCAAAAGCAAAATCTCAGAATGAAAGTAACAGAGCTGCTCCAACATGCAGACACCTGGAGCGGAGCAGTTCTACAACGTGATGTGACACCCTTTCATTATTTAGTAGTTTTACAAATGATTGCAAGGATTGAAGCTCTTGTTTTTGTGAAATATGCAAATTATTATTTAGTTAAAATTCCCACACTACTACAGTTAAACATAGAGAGAGAGAGAGAGAGAGAGAGAGAGAGAGAGAGAGAGAGAGAG